CAGTCAGATGAATCGAGCTGTTTTATCTAAGATTCATTTTAATATTATAACTCAGATTCAAAGAGACTGGATTCGGCCTCCTAATCAATGGTAGCGGTCGTTTTTTCCACGGATCAAAGCGGCTACAGCGTGAAACTGGCTATTCGCCTGCATCTTTGGTGTCAAGATTAAGAGCGCGTGGAGCTACAGCTCAATCCCAAACTCCCACACGTTTTCAGGGCGTGGTGCTTAAAACTTCACAGACCCAAGAAGAAACAAAATCATCATTAGAATCATTATCACTCGTGCTGTGAGACCTACCCATCCTCCTGAAGCATGTATGTAAACATTCACCCCCAACTAGCACTGAGGTTAAGAATGAGTGGAGCTTACTTCCACTTTCCCGCACGTCCATGTGGATAAAAACTTAGGGACAACTATATCCGTGCATCTAGATTTTCCAAGTGGGTCCCAAGATCTGTATTCGCCTTCATTAAAGAATAAATACTCAAGAAGCATAAATCTAGAATCACTGGTTTAAGAACGTTGTTGCCTCATCAGTTTGTAATTCGTGTTCTCAGGATTTCCAAGGAAACCAAGTGGAGAATAGCAAGATGCCCGGTAAAAATGAGACAAACAGCAGCCCTCTGGGCAGAGTGAACCTACGGGCCAATCTTCTGAAGGGAAACATTGTCCTGGGAAATTATGGGGTAAGTACAAGCAGCCGACTCAGTCTTTAAAGATGAACACGTTGCTAATAACAGAATAATAGGTCTATCTATGGCGAAGAGTCGTTCCAGAGAAGCTAATAATCGTTCAGTTTCATGATATTCACATAGAATTAAAAAAGTTTGGTCATGCAATGCAATTACAAGGCCTCTCGAGATGGAAAATGACTATAGGAATGCAATATGGTAACCAGTAACAAAACCTCTGTGGTTAAATAATTTTATGGCCTATCGCTTTTAGCCATAAAAATTTATACCAAGTACCGTACATACTAGAATGCATTACACTTAAATAAGCAAGCTGCTTAAGTCACGGTCCATTACATGGTAAAGTCATATATGTTTAAAATTTAGCAGTCATACTATTAGTTCAGAACAATTAAAGAAAACCACCCGAAGATAACCAATTAAGGTCGAAACACATAGCGGATCTTAATAATCATTTAAAGTATAATAAAAATTGCTGTGTAGACGAACTGTCAACCTAACGATCACATAACGTGAAAACCTGTGGGTTAGGTTAGGTTAGGTTGCTGATGCACATGTGCAGAGGATCATGGGTAATGACGTTCTCTTTGTCCCATCTCATGAGGTGTTTTCACCTACTTAAAGGATGAAGAACACCTGAAGACCACTAATCTGCAGAAAACTATAAGAATGTTCAATGCATCGATTATCATGAGTAAAACTGCAGTCATAATACCAAAATTATTATTTATGTTTTTTTAGTGTCCATATCCTGCATTTGTTATTACTGGACTTAATTTATATAAGATTTTAAAAAGTGAAATTTGACTTCAAGATATAACAGATGCATATAACATTGTCACTACATTGTAAACTGTTACCCATCACCACCATCAATTATTAAAGCGGTATCCCATTCTGGTCCTGTTGTCTTGTCTTGGGATTCATGTCTCGATACACATGGCCTAGTAATAACTAATTCTCTCTCTAAAACAATCGTCCTCCATGTACTATTTGCTTGACAGCAAGGTTACTTCTCAATTTCGCCATTAATTTTTCTCAGCTCAACAAAACATTATGTACATACATCAAAATAAATCTCACTTTCTGCAAATATTAATAAAAATACATTTGACTAACCTCTCTTTGCTGCCTCCTGGTATTCAGGTGATTGTGGTGATATGAGCAACCACACAGAATGTTCATTCACTAAACACAGACTACTTTAAGTCTGTCGTGGTTTTCCTCAGCCTGGGATATTAGTTTAAAAATTGAGCACGATCGCTTCCATAGTCGCAAATTATCTTCGTCATAGCAGTTCGACGTTTTATAATTTAGTACGTAGGCTTACGTGATTTAGGACGAGAACACTAAATTTAGGTAACTAAACCCATGTAAACAATTTGAATTGAAACCATAATTCAATCTGTATCGTCACTTACCGCCGAAATAATTATAAACTAACACGTCAAATACCCCAATTCCAGCACACACAACCACTACTTTGCAAAGAAACCATCTCACTGAATTTCATGTGATTAGCAATCAATATAACCGGAAATTCGATTTATATCGATAAACTACGTCACCCCAAAGAAACAATCGAACAACCCTCTCTCTATCACATAAATCCACACATCGATCTATGCCATCTATTGATAGATCTACCAAGTTGAAACCTTAATTTATTCTTTTTATTCTTCTTCTACTATTGTTTCCATTTTATACGCGTCGATGGTCGAAAACTCTTCCATCTTCACTGTACGATTTCTTGTCAGCATTTCGTCTTATAGCAACTGGCACACAAATATTTAGTATCCAGTATTTAATATTATAAAAGTATAAAAATAATTCCTAAGAGCTATGAAGTACATGAAATTACACCAAATTAGAAACTATATTCCTCCACTGTTTTACTTCGTGAAATGGTGACGACATTAAAGTGCTGTTGCCACCATAACAGAATTAAGAACATTTATTTACTCTTAATACGTTTACGAGAAATTAACAGAAATTACATTTTCTCAATAGTGACTACACATAACAGATTCCCTTATATTGGAGTTTCTTCGTTGCTATTTAAAACGACATTATTTACAAATGTACACGTAATTGGGTTCGTGAAGGTTGGTATGACATTTTTAAACATAGAAACATTAATATCCAAGAACTTAATCTCGTTTAATGTACAGGGATTTACGTCCGTAGGGATGCCTACGTAAAATTTGACGAAACTACCTTCACAGAATAAAC